GGGCTGGAAGGAGGGGCACCCGGGCTGTGGGGCGCCCGCCCTTGGGTGCTGGAGAGGGGAGGGGGGAGTCTTTCGAAGGGTTGGGAAGGCCGGCCGGAGGGTGCCCCCCCCGAACCTCTCTGCACCTGGCAGGGCTGGAGGACTTTACTTGGATACAGCCATGGGCTTGTTTTCTCAGAGGCGCCATGCTGGACCCAGAGACCCCAACCCCACCCCAGTTGGTGTAGAGAGGCATCGGTGTGGTATTTCAGGAGGCACCTTTTGGGCTCCTTGGACCTCATGCTGCAGAACAAGGCTTGAAAAGGAACCTATCCGGCTGGAGTTACGGGATGGAGGGAAGCCGGGAGTCCCCTTAAAAGGGCTTGTCAGCCAAGGGGGTCTGGAGTCATGATTACCAAGGGTGAAAGCCCACAAAGGGTAGCATCCTACTCCTTCATTCCATCCCACAGTTTGCCACTTGTGGCAACTCTGCTGTTAACTGCCTTGTAGACGGATAACTGCAATTGTTCACTGCCCAGCAGCCTGTCCCTGTACTCATGGATCGTCGTCGTTGCTTTATCTATTACCTGCCCCCCTATCTGGTCCTGGAGCCATGTCTGAATACGACAGTCATGTTCTCAAGCTTCTCTGTCCAAGGAAGTGGAATCGATCCAGAAAGCTCCCATTAAAATACAGCACTCTTTAAAATGCCGCAGCATTTTTTGCCTCCTGTTCTTGTTTTTATTGTTGTTTGGGGGAAGGTTAGGGTCTGATAGCCTTGAAATTCAGAGGCTCTGACATGGGTATGTATTTCACCCTCAGCCAAAAAATAAAACAAAAATGCATCGTGCAAGCTGTTTCCAATTTCTGGTTCTCCAAAACACAAGCGAACCCTTTATCCTTGGAACTGATAGTGCCAGTATAGAAGAGGTATTAAAAAAGAGAGTTCGGTTGCATTTTGCTGTTTTGAAGGAACAGCAACCATAAGGACAAGAAAGGCTTTTCTCTCTTGTTCATAATAACTGGAGATAATGACCAAAAGATAAAATAACAGATCTTAATGTCAGATATTACCAGGACAGAGTTCTAAGGGTTGCTTCCAAACTAGTTCTGGAACATGGAAAGTAATAATAAAGAGAAGTATGCCTTATACTTCGCATTTATGAACTGATTCTCTTCCATCAATGAAATAAAAATAGTATGTCCAAATGTCTCATTGGACATCAGCTTTCCTTTCCTTTGAAATTATACATTGCTAGTTTTCCCCTTCTTGGATCAGAATACATGCATTCCCAAGGAGAGATGGACTTCCATGTTTGGGGAGTTCATGAAAGTACATTTGGGGAGCCCATTTAGCATTGTTTAGTCCTCATCAAACAGAAATATTGTCTTTTTTCCTGTCTGCATGATATGGTGCACGGAGGGGCCACAGGCAGAAGGCTGTCCCAGGTATCAAGAATAAGTGAGTAGAGCAGCAATAGTCTGGCAAAGGGCACAGGGAGAAAGGAATTTCAAAGACCAAAAAACAAAAGTGAAACCAAACAACAAAACCCTCAAGTCATCTCTGACTAGTGTTTGTTCAGATTGTGCTGACTCTGATTGATTTCTAAGGCCCTGTGAATTTTAAGGGATACGTGGGACCTGTGGGGAGACGGTGTGCTATGTTCGTTTCCTGCTGGACAAAATCTTTATGGCACAGTTTTATTGACCCACAATGAATTGTACTGAGCATTATTAGAGAGATTAGGCAATATTCTTGAGAATTCTTCATCCATATTGTCAGCATTAGTTCACGTAAATTGGGGACCACAGAATAATGTTATCGTTTGAACCCAATCCTTAACAGAAGCTCTGAGGGGTCTCCTCCCCATACGACAACCTCTGCCCCTCTCTTCCATTTGCCACCAACACTGCCATACAGTATTTGCCAAGGCACCCACAAAAAAAGTCAAGCTCCTCATTAAATCAACATGTGTTCTCTTTATGTGACTTGTTTGCAATTTAAATGTTTTTCCCCCTTTAAAACAAAGGGGTACCTTCTTGAGAACTTTTGCTAGTTTCAGAATGATTACACTTGTAAACAAAATGCACACCTTGGGGAAAAACTTGATTTTAGAGAGGCAACATGTGTTTTAATAGAAAGAAAGTGCATAGGGATAATGCCCTTTATATAAAGGGAAATATGTACTCGGCACCATATGTGAGCCATGGGTTCAATGTCACCCGCCCTTGCCTGAAAGGAATCCTAATAGAGACAACGATGAAGAAACAATATAAAGCAACCCTGTTAGGATGACTTCTTGTGTACCACAAATAATAAAATGTAAAAAAAAATAAAAATTAAAAGGGTATCACTGCAAAAGAGGAAATCAATTTGCATAACAGTTTCATGGAGTTATTTATATTTATATGGATGGATTCACATTTAGTAATAAATACTATGATTTAAAGAGAAACACAAGGCATCACACCATAGCAGAGATTAAAGACCATGACTGGGTGACTTATGAGCCTGCTTCTCGGTCTGCTGTCTAGTTATGACTGGTTGATGTCAATCACCCAATTTCCCTTCTCACACATCTTTATCCTCAAACAAGATTTGAACTTGTCAACCCTACCAAGAGAGGATCCCTCTGTATAGAACTCTGTTCCCTGTAAAGCAGGATACATGGCAATGCATTAAATACACAAGTGACATTGTAATAAGGATAGAGATTCATATGCATCCTAGCTATAGATATGGAAAGTACATGGGAAGCCTGGTGGTAAGGT